TTGTTTCTGAGGCAATCTCCTCCGATTCTGGTGAAAAGGTGAAATTAATAAAACAAGGAACATCCAGAATAAGAGGAACGATTGTAGGAAACTAAATGAGAACAATATCTGGTTTCTAAGTAGAATGAGATAAGAAAGGGAACAGGAAGAGCCACTGAGTAAGAGGAGAATAATAGACTAAGCTGGAGCTTTGGGTTAACCTCGTTATCGAACCTTGGTCTTTTGGGCTTGTTGCATACGAACACTTACACACAATACCCAGGACTACTGGATCATACTATAGTTTTTTTACATAGACAAAAATTGTGACCACATTCGCTACATTACCTGCATCACTGATCCACTTACATGCATGTAGGACAAGCATAAGTCAGCCAACCAAATTATGGAATGCCTCATTGAGATCGCAAAATGAGGTATAAGAAGTAGGATTTCAGCTGGCCACCTTTATTGGTTTAGTTTTTTTGGTGATTTTTCGTGAATACTGGTTTCTGGCTCCGACGATGCCCGTCACATGATGGACGAAAGCTTAGCACGGAGTCATCGTGGTCGTAGGACGATGAGCCAAGGTTTTCTTCGCACAGTTCAACAGATAAATGTCCAAGGCAACCCTCCTGCAATATCCAGTAAGGTCAATCTACGAATCCCTTCTATCCGCCTTCTTAAGCGAAACGAAAGATACGCTTGTATCAATTTATTAAGAGATTCTTTGAAACCCAGCTTCTCTTCATATTACGAACTGAAGCCAGATCTAATATGCCTATAGTTTTTTATGTTTCTTTAAATCTCTTCTGATCCAGTTCTATTTTTTGCTCTTCATTCGCTTTTCACGCTTGACATTTTCTATGATATTTATTTTTATTACATTTTCCTTTGAATATTCTCGCGTATGCACTCCTTAGTCACTATATGTTCTTACTATCTCTTGACATTCTTTTTGCCCCATCTGTATATATTTTATCTTTTATTCCAACCCAGCGCCCTATCCATCCTATGGGACTGTCGAATCCGAGTTACCAATCCAGCGTACCGGAGTCCACGGTGGCTTTGGGGACTCACAGTTTAGCCTTTCCTCGGCTTTGCCGCATATCGTCGCTCCGCGCGCCTCCCTTGAGACTCTTGGTACTGCTGCCTCCCTTACTTCGATCGCCTGTTTGGGTGCTGGCTCATCCGCATCTTGTATCCAGCCCCAGCACCTGCACAGCAACCCTCAATGTCAAGTTGCCTCCGGACAGGCTTCGTCGAATTCAGCTTCAGCTACGGCTGGTGCTATCCCACCGGCGAATGGTGGGCCCGGCTTCCACTCACCTTCCACAGCCCTATCACCAATGTGAATCCTCATCGTTATCCGCCTAGCCAAATTAAACCAGTCCTTGCAGCTGCTAAACTAATCTTTGTAGATGGTACTCCATTCCTCTAACCACGATTTCTCACGATCCTTTTTCATAAGACTTTTCTGTTTGGCTCGCAGGCTGGAGAAAAAACAGAGTAGAATGGTTATAGCTGTGAGCAGTGCGCTTTGATTCTATGATGTTTATTTTATTCTATAGCTTGTATTAGCATCCCACTTATTTCTATTTTGGGAAGAAACCATTCCTGCTGCCAATTGTTCCTCCAGCATTCCCTTCTCGTAAGTATCTTTTCGATTCTCTCTCAGGTGAAATTTTGCTTAGCATATGCTTACAACCACAAAATGTTCTCTTTTTTCACATTCCCCTTACCTCCTCTTTTACATGCTTCACTTCGTTAGACTTAACACTGGCCAGTCCTATGATACTCTTGTCGCCCCACCCGAACGCCTTGGGCTCTATTGTTTCCGACAGCATACATGTGCCACCTTTACATTTTGTCCCTTATTGATCAATTTTATTTTGCTCCGCTCCCTCCACCTTTGCTTGTGTTTTTTCAATATAGGTTGTGGAAGAAACTTAAACATCAAGAACATTGAAGTGGCTAGCCTTAGTATCCCT